CCAGGAGATTTCTGTAAGCTCATTAGAGCATTCTTTACAACAAAGAAGTTGTGAAAGGGAGTATAATATTGCCCATCTGTTGTGCCACCTGCCCTCATTCAAAAGAGGATCAGCAGCTTGAAGCAAGATCCCGTGTCTCTGCAAAATTAGTTTCTCCTCAGTGGCTTCTTTAACTGGAAATTTTTGTACAGTGCATACAGTCCATGGGTTAGAGGTAAATTTTGAAACATATGAGTTGCTATTTGGTTGCATAACTGGTTTGGAAATATAGTTTTCCATTAAAGTCTTTAATTCATCTATTTTTTTTTATTGGCATCCAGAAGCTAATTGAATATAGCAGTGACTGTTTGAGCTGTTAAAAGGCAATTCTTAGCAACCAAATCCAGGTCTCTATTTAAATTACTCCTAGTATAAACAGCATCCTCCCCTCTATCTCCTATTAGAGCCTCATCTTCAGAGGAAGGGCAGTCATCCACTTCCCAGTTTAATGAGGAATAAGAATTATTAATGGAGGTTATAAAGGGAGAGGGAGAAGTAGAGGGAGACTTACATGCAGTGTCCTTAAGCCGCAATAAATTCTTTATCGTTGGTTGCCTAGAAGTCAATGCAGCCTTGTCTTGTTTGGGATTTTCTCTCTGCTGAATCTCTGGCTTGTACTTCCTTTGATCTTTCTTTTCAGGTTCTTTTTTGTTCCTGCTTTATAATTTTGCATCCTTGATTAGCATTTGAAATTGTGTACAATACTCTAGGATACCAGAAAATATTATTTATAATTACTAAAAAAATTAAAAATAATTTAGATGTTAATTCTAATTACTTAAAAAAATAAAAGGGAGATAAGGAGTTGAATAAAATGAAGAAAAAGACTAAAACTACTTGATTAAAACTAGATAAAAGAACTGCACTTCTGGTGAGCCACCATGGTGAACTGACATTCCTCTAGAATACAGGAACACATTGTGGCCGAAAACAGTGCTCGAATGCGGGATTTGGGCTGCCGAAATCTCTCTGGAGCAAGGAGAGATCACAAGATTATCCATATGTACTCCATACAGCTGTTTTTTTGTGAGCAGACAGCAGGAAATGCACTTTTTGTAGTTGGCTTGTGATTGGCTGGGAGTCACGGGATTTCATCGTGCTTATAGCCGCTAATGTCACCTAATGGACTTCAAGTTTGACCGAGACTCATCCCTTAATCACTTTGGATTTAATTTTTTCCTCCCTTTGGCTCTTTTTTTTTTTTTTTTTTAAGATTGAGAACCTTCAGACTGGCAAGTTTTATTGAAATCACTGGGTGAGTCTC